CCCTCTATTACCTTAATCTCCAGATACACTGCGAAGGAAGCTTTTAAGGATAAATTATTATCGGTAATCTGCATTAAAAATGCACAATCAAAGTGCCCTTTGCCCTTGTGGAAGCCCTATGGTTTCATTTTATTTCTGAAACTGCGTTTCGGCAGAGAGCGGAACCCCTGCTGAGGCAGAGCTGTGCCGTTTAGCTCATTATGAGGGAGAAGTTTCATGACGCGAGGGGAAAAAAGCATTCAAGCCTCAAACGTGTGAACTTAAATTGCTGGATGCATATATTCTTAATAATTAATGTGCATGTTTGTGTTTAGAAGGTGCAGTGCCATATAAACACAAACATTTTTTTTTACTTAAAACATTCTTTATATTATTCACAGTTGTTGAATTTTAAAACGTTAAACTCTAAACACAAAAGAAGATATTTTGAAGCTTGGAAGAGCCAGGACATTTTAAAAAAATAATATATATAACTCCAGTTGTATGCGTCTGAAAGAAGTATGCACCTAAGATAGCTTCATGGTGAGTAAATCATGGGGTAATTTTCATTTTCAGGTGAACTGTGCCTTTAATGCTCTTGCTGAGCCATAATGTTTTAGGTCACCTCTGGAGCACAGGACTGGTGGGAAAATCTGGTGTCAAAATATGCGTCAATAAATTCAAGTCATGTCCCTCGGTTGATTTGCTAGTACTGCACCTCGACAAGAAAAGCAGATATCTTACAAGCTGTCAGTTTCCAAAAGTGCCACTAAATGTTCATTTTGGTTACTACTGCACCGAGTAAAGGGTCACAGGGTGTGATTGTCATTCTTGTGGACAGAACAAGATTAAGCTCTCACACAGAAGAGTGACAACCGTATTTATCTGCAGTGTGTACATGGCAATTAAAAATGGATGACTTCCAGTCACTTTGTCACTGCAAATGTGTAAACATGTCTTTAAGCTATATCTATGCTTTTTGTAAGAATAAAGATAATTTTTATTGGTGCCTTTCAGCTCCTTTTATGCTGGAGTGTTTATGTTTTATGCTGTAATATAATTGGATTTTAATTATCAGAGTTAGATTTGTGTCACGCTATGGGTGATATTACCCTTGAGATCTCTGACTCTTTCTCTTTATCTCATTCTATGTCCCCCACTTATGCCTCTCATTGTACATCCATAGAGATTAATGTACCACACAGACAGCCACTTTATTCCAGCAGACCCTAATTAGAAGAAATACTAAAACATGCTAAAGCAATAAAAAAGAGATTACAATATGAAACTCTAGAGTATATAGTCTTCTGTATTGGAATATTAACCATTATGAGAATTTTACATATTTCTCCAAACTAATCAATGGTCTCCAAACAGACTCTTAATTTAGCTAAACATTTCTAATTTTACTTCATAATTAAATTCTGCATTCTCTTCATGTAACATTAAAAGACCATAGTGAAAGCTGAACTACTGAACTGAAGATCCTTTTTTATGCATTTCCTT